TGGAGTCCAGGTTTTGGGGTCGGGAAGTGGTTTTTGTCTGTGACTGAGCCATTGTTTTTGGCATTTAATATTTGTATAGAGAATCCATTTTTCATCACCGGTGACAATTCTGTCTAAAAATTGTTCACGGCCATTACGCGCCAGAAGAGACGAAGCAACGTTCACGATGATCATCAGAGAGTTCATGAGGCACCCAATGTACAAGGTTTAGGGTTATACAAAACAGTAAATTAAATTTTCAATCATTAACACCAGGTAATATGGGGTCATAGTGATGTTCTAGGGTTAAAAACAGAGCATACAGTATTAATACTGTATCTCAAAGGTGGAAGTGTCTGTTAAACTGTGTTCATTGGTTAGACATATGCTAATTTTGTTAAATGTAATATATTATTTCTCTTGTGAGTTACAAACTCTAAACAAACTTCTCAATTTACTTTTCATATCTTAAAATACCTAATGAAAGTACTAACTTAAAATGTCTTTTGGAAAAAAAAATGTTTTGCTTAATCTCTTTTTGTAAAGTAAAAAGTTTTCTGTGATGCATGTATGTACTTATTCAAAGATAAACCTTCATTCCCATTATGACCAAGTTAACTACCTTTGTATTTAATTGTTTTTCTTTTGGAATGTGGCCAGTTTGTATACTCCATTCCATCCGTAAATTTTTCCACGAAATGTTACTACACATTAAAGCTTATTAGCTGGAATATGAACATGAGAGTTTAAGATATAATGGTTATCAGTGTGTGTAAGGCTATGGAGCTATGAAGTTGAACACCTTTACATTAAGATTAATTAAAAATAGTTTATTTTATGCACTGGTTAAATAAATATAATTATTTAGCAATTTACATGATCCATTTCAGGTTGGACACGTTTCTGAAACTGATTGTTACTATTTTTTAGCATGATTACAACATAGTAATCTTTCAAGCATATCACTTTTTATAATTTTGGCATCTGTATTTACATAAATTGCCCCACCCCCTGCTGTAGACAAATGGAAACTAAGCAGTATTGTTTTACTCTTGGTAATAATTTTCAAGGAAGTCTTTTTTATTTCTTTTATAAATAGTAAAACGTTCTGTCATGGGTGTTTTAGCTCTACTGGTTAAACTTTTGTTTTATTTCTTCTTTTAAACAGACACAACACATGGTGGAACTGACCCATGGTCGTCCAGTCCTAACTTGCAATCATCATCATACTCCTACACATCACCAGTAATAGCCAACACTGGTTCCCATCTCCCTTCCACATCGTCTGCCTTCTCAACGATGCATCTTCCACCAGAAACAATGGTAACATTATTTAAATTTTAGGGCATTACTAAAAATAAAACTTATTTCAAGGAATGAGAGCTTTTCAAAATAATGGTGATCCAAAATTTTCCCAAAAAAATGAGTAATGTGCACAAAGAATTCGTGAAAATACTTAAAAATGATACTTTTGATGCCATTCTGTATTATAAAATTCCATAATCCAAAAACATATTGATAATCATTGGCAGTAATAAAGAGTTTGCTTGGTGTAATAAAAATATTTTACAGAATCAACTTTATTTGTTTAGAAAAGTTCTATTCATAATAAGCTAATTACGTTCAATCACACACACTTTACTGAATGTAAGCTGTAATGTACAATTGTATTGAAACTACTTTAAGATTGAAATTTATTTAAGATTTTTGCAGTTAGTTTCTTTCACTTTCTTGGTAGTATATGTAAATATTTTTTTAACCGAGCTAATTCATTATGCATTTTATTTCATGTGGAATATAAAAAGTCATTCAAGTATATTATAATCATAGATACCGAGAAAGCAATTCATTCATTATTAATTTAGTGGTAACCCATTTTGAAAATGCTACTATTTTCAGGCATTTGATTTCAGTTGTTTTGCAAGTGGATTTGGCAGGTCACATTGACATTAGATATTTGGTGAATTGTGTTATATGTTCAGTTTTAATACCACAATACTACCAAAAATATGTGAATTATTTAGTAGTTTAAATAACTCTGTACCTGTATATCAAAGCATGATTTTTTTTTATCACGTAACAAAAAAAATGACGTACTAGTACTTATAAATACTTTGAAATTTGCTATTTATTTGTCCAGTTGCACTGGATTTTGCCTTTAATCTAAAGTTTCAAGTTTTTTTTCAAGTGGTGGTGAGCCCTACAGCGTAAAAATGGTCAGCAAGCAAGTTATATTTCATAACATCATGATGTATCTATATAAACCCAACTTACAAAATAAAAATAATTTAAATGCCTAACTAAATTTGAAATATATAACGCATTAAAATCGAATAGGAATTTAAACAGAACTTGTAATTAGTTCTTACAATGAGTATTTATTCGCATTTGATCTGTATAATGGTATTATTGATTAATATTTTTAAGTAACTGTATTGTTATATTACAAACTTGGTAATTATATAGATAGTAGTGCTGTTCATCAGCCATATAAAAGTTAAAAGTTATCCTAGAAAACTCTGACATTTGCAGTTGAAACATGATATTCCTGCAAATGTTACTGATGAATAATGCAAAGTTTAGGAACCATCATTCAAAACAAACATAGTTTTCTTTAATCAAAACTTTTATTTAAAGAAGGCACCCCCCAGTGGCACAGTGGCATGTCTGCAGACGTACAACGCTAGAAACCGGGTTTCGATACCCATGGTGGGCAGAGCACAGATAGCCCATTGTGTAGCTTTGTGCATAATTACAAACCAACAAATTACAAACAATTAAATAAGGCAAACTTTAAGTATGTATACAATTTATGGTATTGTGTTATTTTTATTCTAATTATTTAGTGAGTTGTAATATCTCTAAAACTCTCTGTTTCCATATGTTGACAATTAGAGATACAATTAAACACTAAATGCTAAATCATTAGTATAGATACACCTTTTACTTAGGTATTTAACTCTAGCATTTTCTATTTAAAAGATAGTTAATTACCTGTACTTCATGCTTTGTTTCTATTCCCAATTTAAACAACTTGAAGCTTATAGTTTAATACAGAAGTCTGTCTCTTAGTTACAAGCCATCTAGTCTTGTGGCGTCTTAATGCTTGTTGACTAATGTATTTAACTTTAAGTACAATGACTACTTTGCATTCTTAATAATGATAACATTGCTATTATCCTACCAATTGTTTGACAGCACTCTTACCTATAACTTTAAAACTCTACATCTCTTACAGTTAGATGTCTCTTCTCAGTTTAGTATCATTGTATAGTGAATTCCTTCAGTCAGCCATTATGTTATAAAATACATATTTAGGTAAGCCAATAATTAAGGTATTAATGTCACCAAAAATAAGCAATTTTTGACAAATAGAAGGAGTTAGAAGATAGTCAGAACTAATTTTCATATTTGTTTTGTACAAAAAACAAAACATTTTTCTAAGCCTCAAAAAACGTAAGTCATCTTTCAGTATTATCTAGCTAAAAGGTAGTGTTGAATATGGTGTATTTATTGACCTTTTCAGTTGTCCTCTGGTTTTCTTAAAGGCCACAAATAAATTTGACTTTCTAATGTATTATTGCTTGTAACTTTGAGATTTTCTGAATTTTTATCTTTTTCAAATAATTTTAATTTTATTGAACTATTTTGCTTTTAGTTTTTTTTCTGTTTTATGAAACTTTTAGAAGTTTTATAATTGTTATTTCAATTTTCCTGTTAAAATTAAGTATATAGTTGAAATATTAATTTATAATATGGCAAAAATTATTAACTTGAAGTGTAAAAAACAAAATAAGAAATTAAAAATTTATGTTATTTAAAATAGGGATATCCAGGTGTCTCCCCTATCAATGACCACACAGTAATGCCACCAGGTCTTCCGCCCATGTCCAGTTTTCATGGCCCGTCCAATCATGGTCCAACAGTGCCCCAAGTGACAGCTGCTTCTTCACTCTATGGCCAAAATAACACTTCCCCAGTCCCTATTCATACCTCAGATAAGCTGACCAGTCGTAGAGCTCATCAGCCTTCCCAGACTGGAGATGCCCTAGGCAAAGCATTAGCTTCGGTAAGTCATTGTTAAAGCTTTTCATTTTCATGTCATAGTGTTCACACACGTCTTCTAAATACCACGGCCATCTTTTGTTCCCTGTCATAAATTTGTGTGAGTATTATTTTGTTACATACCATAGCTAAAGAGATTTTGTTTGATGGGTAATTGAAACTTTATTTGGGTATTTTGTATTACTTATTATCAGTTTCAGAAACATACCTTTATATTTATCTTGCTGGTTAGAATGTGTAATAAAACAAATTTAGCCAAGTTTGTTCTATCCCTGAGAAACATTAGATGATCATTATTTTTTTAGAATTTATATATATTGCAGCTTACCCAAAGGTCCAGTAGATAATTTCAAAACTGATAATTTCCCCAATTTTTTTTTCCGTAAATTATGTTATAAAATTATTATTTTGATAATGAATTCATGATAAGGACTTAATGTATAATTTATCTACATGCATGTCTGTTATTTTTCTGCATCATGTAGGCTGTGACATAATGGTGTGGTGAGCCTCTTAAGGGACTGATAACACCACTTCTTAAAGTAACTTGTCTAAGTGACTGCTAACAGGGACTCTTGCTTTTCAATTTAAACCTAAACCAGCTGTTCTGCTATCAGTCAAAAGAGGGGCACCCCCTGGTGGTCCCTGTTACTATGTTATCACTATGTGCATAAACTCCTGCAAAGATTTTTTTCTGTTTGTCAGTTATATTAGCAAAAGCCTACAAAAACCAACCACAGTAGTTTAACTGGACTGATTGATCTGTTTATTTTCTTTATAATGTTCGTTTAAAAAGGACCTTGACCATTCAGACTTTTCTTTTTATTCATGTGTTACATAAACATACCACAAAATTTTGGTATGTATTCTAAGGAGTATGAAAATTCAATGTAGTTATTTAAAAACTAATTACTATATACCAGTCATTAAGTGATAACTTTCTTTTTTTAATATGTATCATCCTGTCAATATAAATTTAATAAAGTTTTATTTCTAATACAGATTTATTCTAATATGTATCATCCTGTCTGTATAAATTTAATAGTTTTATTTCTAATACAGATTTATTCTAATATTTATCATCCTGTCAGTATAAATTTAATAGTTTTATTTCTAATACAGATTTATTCTAATGTGTATCATCCTGTCAGTATAAATTTAATAAAGTTTTATTTCTAATACAGATTTATTCTAATGTGTATCATCCTGTCAGTATAAATTTAATAAAGTTTTATTTCTAATACAGATTTATTCTAATGTGTATCATCCTGTCAGTATAAATTTAATAAAGTTTTATTTCTAATACAGATTTATTCTAATGTGTATCATCCTGTCAGTATAAATTTAATAAAGTTTTATTTCTAATACAGATTTATTCTAATGTGTATCATCCTGTCAGTATAAATTTAATAAAGTTTTATTTCTAATACAGATTTATTCTGCTGATCACACAAATGGTAGTTTTTCTTCCACACCTACTACACCAGTCAATTCTCCACCTCCTCTCTCAGGCAAGTTTAAATTAGCCATTTACATGTTTGTGGCTGTCACATTTTAAATCTTTAAATAACTTAAATATTATTAATTGCACTATTTATGTGTTATTTTGTCATTTAGTTATTACCATGAGACCTGTTTCTCGCTAAGGATAGGTTTAGTGTTGATCTATAAAGTAATCTGAACATTGTGTGAAAAATGGAGTACATAGAAATGCAGGGAAAAATGTTAAAAGCTTCAGTATTGTGATAAAAGAAAAATTTCAGTTCTTTATTTTCATGAAACTGAAGTGGGAAATTCACAAATTAGAACTGTAAATGAAGCAAAGAGGCCTAAAAAAGTCTTAATTTATTCTTAGATGAGCATAATAAATGGTATATAAACAGTATTAATCCTTATACTACGGGTGGGTGGATTCTACCCAGTCTGTATTCCCCAAAGTAACCATAAAACAGTTATACTCTAACTTTTTAAAATGTACATGTATCTTCACAAAATTTTGCTGATTATCAATAAACATTACATGGCATATGTACACAAATTTTTAAGTTAAGATTTAACATTTTTTGATTAATTATTTGCTTGTGCATTTAATATTTTTGAATGTTGACTATCCAACATGCAAAGCAAACTTGATTTGAAGATTAAAAATACTTTTATGCATCAGAAAATTGTCAGATTTCACATGCAAAATCCCTATAACTTCCTAATATCCTCCAGTTAATTATCAAACATTTTTTTTTAGAAAAAAACTATTTTATTTGTTATTTTCACTATTGTATCTCTGTATGGATTTGGTCAATTCAACTGACCTTGTAACCACTATAAAAAATAGGAAATAAACATAAATTACACTTTCTAGAACAACTAAACTCTTAATAAAACCACAAATGTTTAGCTTAAATCTCCTAACATTATACATACATCAAAGTTTATTATTTTTATTTTATTGACCTTTCAGCAGTGTATGACTAACATTATAGAAGTTGAATGAAGAGGCGCACATGCACTCATGTTACTGTATCCAATAATATAAAACTGGACTTTAAAAAGTGACCTGTCTTGGCTCTGTTCTAGTGGACCAGTATTTTGTAAAAGACATTCACATTTCGATTACAGTACATTATATATATGTATGTACATTATTACTATTTACAAATAAGTTCTTAAATTTCAGTTATTTTTTCTTAAAACATAGAACAGTAGATATAGAAGTACAGAAAACAATTATCTCTTCTAGTTAAGAACTCTTTTATGTGCTTGCTGATTGCCGTAATTTGCTAAGCCTTATCAAGTTTCACACATGGAGAATATAAAACAAAATAATTTTTTTGGGTTTTGTATATGCATTTTGAAATAACAAAAAATCATAAATTACTATATCAGTACGACAGAATTCCACTATAATTTATCAGTTTTAGTAACTAAGCTGTATTTGGGTCTAAAGAAATATGATTTTTTGAGCTCAGTAAAGTCTTTCCACTTGGACCCTACCATGAAAAGAAAGGGTTTCCCTCATAAATACTTTGCAGAGGCTCAGAAAACCAAGTAGGTGACATTCTCTGAGCTTTTGATTGGTTATACATGGGTCATTGGACAAAGTAAATATATGTAAGCAAGTATTTTCAAAAATGAAAGAGATGGATGGGACCACCTTGGTTGATTCACTGAATATAATAATATCTCAGAAAATAGAAAAGATAGAAGGATCTTATATTCTAGCTTGTCAATATTAGTAATCTGAGTTTCTAATTTGTAAGAAACTATAGACTTTGTATTTGGACATTACAAACCAATGCTGCATTCAACATACCACATGATATACAAAAATCAATATTTAGGAATTTTTTTAATACTTACTTTTAAATTAAGAAATTAACTAATGTATAATACTAAAATTTGAATTACAATATACAACTTGATACTAAACTTATTGGCATACGTTCATAAAATAGTAGTTCAATAACATTGTAAGTCTACAAATGCGATGTCATGGCCTTTGACCTGTGACAATAGAAAGACCTGTCTCAGTAGATTTAAACATTTATAAGAAGTTTTATTTTTGCAGTACTTTTATTTGTAGTTCATTTAGTAAGTAGACATAATTACAGCAAAAAAAGCTAGTTGTTTGTTATAGTTTCATAGCATGTAATGAGCAAATTTAAATATATTTATGCTGTACAAACTATAGTGTTAGTATTTTGCACTGCTTGAGAAAATAATCTTATCTATGTGGTTTTAAGTCTGTTTTATTTCACCATATAATAACCTAAATTAAGTTAGTTATGTGAATAATGTTATACAAAATAATCGTATGTTTTATTTTATTTTTGTACTGTTTTCTTTATCTATTGAATAATGAACTTTCATAAAACCTTAAACTTCCTTTTGTTTACAGGTGTGCCTCAGTGGTCTCGCAATCCTCAAGCAACTGCACCTGTTGCTTTTACAGATGGCCCTCCCCACTTGGTAGGTAGCTCTTCAACACAATCATTCTTTGTTACAGTACATAATGTGTCTCTTACTCACTTGTGTAGGATAGGTTGTAGTAATTCCTTTCTGATTGTGCAATTATTATTTGAGTTAGTAAAATACATATATTTAGTCTAGTGTTTTTAACAAATATTTTCTCATTCTCTTACTTATTTCTTATATTTTACTATTTTTAAATCTGTTCTGTTACTAAACATTTTCTATCATTCTCCTTTATTTTATATATTTAGATTTAAAGTATGGTTTCTGAACAGTTGCTTTCTTTATTTCTTTGTAGCCTTTCTGAGTGTTTATCCTTTGCATGCTAATTCATATGTATGCAACACCACAAAATTTCTGTTGTATATAACTTGTAGCTAATTAGTGAGGAAGACAGATTAAATGAAGTCATTAACCTCCTCCTCTAAGAGGAAGTGGAGGTAAAACTTTTCTTTGTTTTTATCCACAACATGGACTAGTCTTCCATTTGTTAAATGAACAGCTAGAATTTTTTTTAAAGATAATTTCCATAAAAGTATTTGTTATAAAAATATACTTTTTCTAGCTTTCATCTTTTTTGGTTGAAGATTTTTTTTTCATTAGAGTTTTAAAACAATTTGTATTCAGCTGCTAAGATAAAGAAAATTTAAAACAATATTTTTTATTGAAAGTTTTCCACTCTTTTTGTTAAATGTCCTCCTGTAATTCTTTAATTCTATTTCTAAAACTAACAGTATAGTTTTTATGTTTCTTATTTTTATCAGATGAATTCCTTAACTTTTATTTCAGTTTAAATGAAATCTGTATTATGACCTTGAGGTGTAGTATAGAATACAAAATTCATAACGTTGAAATAATTGAAAATGATAAACTTATCACCAATACCCTGATAAGATTAGTATTACCACTCTGTAGAAGAACAAAGATACTGTTAATTGCTTGGAAAGCTAAGATTTGCTAATACTGTACAAACAAATCAGTAGTAAACACATAATGAAATTTAAAGAACTAAGTCAGTTAAGAGTATCTGTACTTTTAACACACACATCTTTGAGATCATTAACTGTAAGGGCTTACCCAACTAGCTGAATCAATGCGAGGTTTACTCATTATCAGCTAAGTGATTTTACTACACTTACGAAATTTCTTAGGAGGCTATTATATACTCTTCTGCTATTAACTCTTGTACAAAATATGACTATTGTTACGACAGCGGAAGTCATGTGACGCTGGGAGCATGCATGCTGGAGTTTCTAGAAGGATCGTGACTTATTGGGGAACCTCACGAACGTCCCAGTGTTTGCTAGATGCCCTCTTTTTTTAGTATATAAGCCAGCGATAGATAGATATGCAGATAGAGATAATTAAGTCAAGCAAACAGTAGGCACCATAAGTAAAGTGTGTGAATCACTGATTTATAGCGTGTTATAAAAGTTGTTAAGTGTCTTACAAAGTTGTATCAAGAAAGAATAAACTGGTTTTAATTAAGAAGGGACTTGTATCGCTGAAGTTTCTCGGACAGAATTTTTACTGGAAATTTTCACACAAGCAGATACGTAACACTATTATCACACTTGAACAAGTTAGGCTCTGTTGTTCAATAGGCTCGAGGGGTGATGGAGGAGCGTCTAGATGATGCTATCAACATCTTGAGAAATCATGCAGAAGGAACAGGACTTCAGGTGCTTGGCCCTGGTGGGGTTTTGCAGAATTCTGTCATGTCACTGGCTTCATCTGCTGGCAATTCCAATGGGCTAATGGGAGCCATTGCAACACACCCTTACTCTGTTTCCATTGGGAAGACTTCTCTAGAACCTCATGTGGTAAGTGTTTTGCCTATTTTGCTGACATGTTACTCTCCCCTACCCCACCTAAACGTTTATGAAGTAGCATTTGTATTAAATCCACACATCAGTTGATATAATTTTATGAGAAGATAACATTACTATCATTTAAAAGATAGCACAGAATAACCATGGATTTTTTCCCCATCAGAAAAAATTAGCATACAAATTAAATCCTTCATTATTTATTTAAGGTGAAAGAAGTGGATAACTTCTAATAACTTGTTTGACTTTAAAAAAATAGTTTGTATGGTATTCCCATATTAAATGTAACATATGCTCTTTAAAAAACCATGAAAGTTAGTTTGTTGGAAACTATTTTTGCCTCAATATAATGATCATTATATTATTATTTATTTTAATAATTTAACTCCTTAAACCTGAGTGGATGCTGCTAGCATCTGGTCGAAAACCATGATATACACATCGGTTGATGATAGCATCTGATGATATTTATGTCTCTTTGGCTGAAAACTAATCCAAACAATGTTATTATCCACAAAATTAAGAAATTTGAAATTTTATAAGGTATGGTGATAATTATTAGGAAATCATGAAAGTAATTCCAGCAGAACGTGCAAAAAAGCCTATAGGTTTAAAGAGTTGATAAGTAAAAATCTGTATAGCTTGTAGTAAATATGAAAATTTGATCCATGGATTTTGTGTTTGTAATTTATATTTTGAGACCATTCATACTAATTTTTTCTTTCTTTCAAAACTACAGAAATAAATTAATAAGCTTGAAGAATGAGATTAGAACCAGTTATTCTGCTAACCAGGTTGATGCATTACCTAACTAAGTTACTATTTATCAAACACCACAAATCTCAATATTCACTCCTTCAGAAAAATTAAAAGGAAATTTTAAACTTTAGGAATTAATGATAAAAAATTTTGATTTTCTTTTCTAATAACAGAGTCCTCAGCCTTTACCAGATGGAACAGTCAGAAATCAGACAGGCTTACCGGATGTATCATCTGTTCATTCAAACACATCACATTATGGTAAGATAGTGATAGTTAACACCTCTATTTTTCCAAAATCTTTACTTTAGTATATATTGTAGTGTGTGATGTGTTGGTGACATTTGAAAAGTGATTGCCCTACAAACCTTCACCATGTATATAATTAATACTTGCATTTGGTTTGTTCATTTATATTTAAATTACAACCGGTAGTGTATGTATTTCATCAAACTACAAAATTATACCAAACTGCTACAACTACCTGAATTAAACTTTGAACATCGTTTTTCAACATCTGAAAACAAGAGCAATTGGAGTGATTGCATACCCTCACTCCGCTGCTCCTTTTCGAGGTTGCTTGCGTTTATATTGGATAACGTCAAATTTAACCTACGGAAACGCAGAAAATCCTTCTCAGATTCAGAAAGATCATTGATCCCGATAATGTTTTGTAGTGTGATGTGGAGTCTCAATCTTAACCCCTTTGCTATAGGTAGGGGTCAGAGGGCATGTCATTTCCTAATTTTTTATGGTGGTTGCAGGGTCAATCAAATTGACCAAACTCATACGGAGATAAAATAGTGAAAATAACAGATAGAATTAAATTTTTTTTTAAAAAGGGGTAATTATCTGGAGGTTATTATAGAGATTTCGCTTGTGAAATTTGACAGATTTCTGATGCATAAAAGTATTTTTAATCTTAAAATCAAAATTACTTCGCATGTTGGACATTCAACATTTGAAAAGAAAAATGCACGAGTAAATCATTAATTAAAATTTTTAAAACGTAATTTAAAAAGTTGTATATGAAAGAAAGCCTTTGTAACATTTACTGATAATCTGAAAAATTTTGTGAAGATACATCTACATTTTAAAAAGTTGCAGCATAACTGCTTTATGGTTACTTTTGGGGATATGGGCTGGATGGAATCCAGTAAATGGGCTAATGTGCCCATGAAATTTGGTACAAATCTGATCACGCTTTACATCAAGGTTTCCCAAACCTTTTTGAGTTATCGACCCCATAACAAACGTATAAAATTGTCATTGATCCCCAAATTCTTAGAATATAAATTATAAATTAAACCTCATAGTCAAGAAACTTCAATATATAATCAACTTTTTCTTTGTCATAATATAATCATTAGGAAACATAAAATGTAAAAAAGAATGAGGTTTTAATTTTCACTTGCTGTTGCTACTAGGCATATGGCAGTTAGTTGCATAGGCCAACCTTACCTTTGGGCCATTTTCGACCCTCTATTATGTCTTTATTCATTCCACTGTACATTTTCATAAACCCCAAGGGGTCGATATTGACTGCTTTGGGAACTCTGCTTTACAGAATTATTAACCTAAAACCATGAAAATGTTCTATCTCCCCATTATATAAAATGTTACAAAGTGATCCAGATTTGTATCCAGACCCAGTTTGGGGAGGATTGTCCCATACTGACTTTCCATCTCGTGTAAAAATTGTGTGTACATCAGTCAAATAGTTTTCAAGATACACGAGCGGAAATACAGACAGACACACACACACACACATGG